AAACGCCGCGTCGTCCTTGTGTGTCCGCGATGAAGCTGATGGTGCTCATGCCGCCGACACTAGCAGATCCGGCCGCGGCGTGCGAGATCGGGCCAGGGTTCGCCGCCCATCATGGCCGGTGCCACGTAGGTCGGATTAGCCGAAGGCGTAATCCGACATCCGGACGTGCTGTGATGTTGGATTACTGCCGTGATGTCGGATTACGCCTTCGGCTAATCCGACCTACAAGGGATCGGCGGTGGCGTTGACAGAGCACCAGCGCCTAACGGCACACCGCAAAGTTGCCACGGCCGCGAACCCTGGCCTATACTCCACCACTGCCATGAGCAACGACACAAGCACCGAAAAGGTCGCGACACTGCTGAATCCCACGAGCGTCGCCATCCTGGGGGCCAGGGAAAACCCCTCCGGATGGACAGCGCGCATCTTCGCCAACCTGATCCGTTTCGGTTTCGACGGGCCGGTCGTACCGGTGAACCCCGAACCACGAGCGCATGTGGGGGGTGGAGTGCTTTCCCGACCTGCGCTCCCTGCCCTCGGTGCCGGACCACCTGGTGGTGATGCGGGCGGCGGCCAGCGTCCCGGGCATCCTGCGGGAGGCCGCGGCCATGGGCACCCGTAGCGCCACCCTGTACGCCACCGGTTTCTCCGAAGCCGGTACCGACGCGGGCCGCGCGCTCGAGGCGGAGTTGCGCAAGGCCATCGAGGACACCGGCCTCGCCATTTCCGGGCCCAACTGTCTCGGCAACCTGTCGGCCCGGGCCCGCCTGCTGACCCTGCCGGACGACCGTGTGCTGGAACTCGTCCCCGGCCCCGTGGCCATGGTGGGCCAGAGCGGCACCACCACGCCCAGCATCGCGCGGACGCTCATGGACCGGGGCATCGACGTCAGCTACGTGATCACCAGCGGCAACGAGGTCGGGCTCATCACCGCGGACTACATCCGATATTTCGTCACCGATCCCGCGGTCCGGCTGATCTTCTGTCTGGTGGAGGCGGTGCGCCGGTCCGAAGACTTTCTCGCCGCCTGCCGCACCGCCCGTGACGCGGGCAAACCGGTGGTGGTGCTCAAGATGGGCGTGTCCGAAGGCGGACGCCGCGCCGCCCTGTCCCACACCGGCTCCCTGGCCGGCCGGGTGGAAGCCTTCGATGCCGTCGCCGGGCCCGCCGGGGTGATCCGCGTGCAGAGCGCCGACGGCGCCGTGGACGTCATCGAGATGCTGCTGCACGCGAGCGAGCCCCGGGGCGAGCGCGTGGGCGGGCTGGTCTACTCGGGCGGAGTACGCGGCCTGGCCGAGGACGCCGCCGACCGGCACCGGGTGCCGCTGCCGGAGTTCGCGCCGGAGACCCGCGCGCGGATCCGTGAGCTCCTGGGGGAGGGTCAGCCATCAGCAATCCGCTGGACGCCAACGGCTATCTCAACCGCCCGCTGGAAGACGTGCTGAAGGTCGTGGACGCCATCTACAACGATCCCGGCGTGGACATGGTGCTGTTTCAGGAAGACCTGCCGCCCCACGAGGGCGCCAACGATGCCAACCGGCGGCGCGCCGCGCGGGTGCTGGCGACCCTGGAAGCCATCGACAACCGGTTCCTCGGACCCGACCGGAAGCCCTTCGCGCTCACCTCCCCGGCATCCTATGACCTGACGGAATTCAGCCGCACCGGCCGCAAACGCTTTCCGCACGTACCGTGTCTCAACGAGCCCGAGCGGGCGTTTCGCGCCATCCGCGCGGTCATGGACTACCGCAGGAATGCCCGGGAGGCCGAGCCGGTGACGGCGCAGCCCCTGCCGGATTCCTTGACGGCCCGCGTCGAAATACTCAGAGAACGGTCCGCAGGGTCCACCGCCGCCTTTCCCCTCACCGAGCCGGACTCCAAGGAGCTGGTGGGGGCCTTCGGGATTCCCCTGATCGAGGAAGGACTGGCGCGCACCGAGCAGGAAGCGCAGGACATCGCCGAGCGCATCGGCTTTCCGGTGGTGGTCAAGGGAGTGGCCGCGAACCTCACGCACAAGAGCGACGCCGGGGCCGTGCGCGTCAATGTGGGCGACGCGGCAGGAATCCAACAGGCCTGCCGGGACATCGTGCGCAACGTAGCGGCCTACGACCCGGACATCCGCCTGGACGGATGGCTGGTGGCAAGGATGGCCCCGGCCGGGCTCGAGCTGGTGCTGGGAATGCAGCGGGACCCGGAGATGGGCCCCGTGGTGATGTTCGGGGCCGGCGGGGTATGGCTGGAGCTCATGAAGGATGTGGCGTTCGGGCCGCCCGGGTTGAGCCGCGACGGCGCGGCCCGACTCATCGACTCCACCCGCATCGGCCGGCTGCTGGACGGGATACCGCGGTGAAGGACCCTACGACCGCGACGCCGTCATCGACGCGCTGGTGGCCCTGGGCCGGTTGGCGGCCGCGGCCGGAGACGTCATCGAAAGCCTGGACATCAACCCCTTCCTGGTGGCCCCCAAGGGAAAGGGAGGGCTGGCGCTGGACGCGCTGGCAGTGATCGGGGCCCGAGCGGGACGTTGAAAACTGCGATGAGGCCCCAGTATCGTCATTCCCGCGAAAGCGGGTCCAGGTGGGGTGGAGGGGTCCCTACGCGGCGTTTCCCCACTCCACCCCGCCTGGATTCCCGCTTTCCAGGCTATGTCAAAACTGCCCCCTCTCCCTCTGGGAGAGGGTTGGGGTGAGGGAACCTCGTGGCAAGCAGGCCGGTGCCAATGGCAACGGATGGGAGCGGCAGGGTTATTGGGGGGGCCCTCACCCGGCCTTCGGCCACCCTCTCCCAGAGGGAGAGGGGTTTGACACGGCCTGTTCCGCGCGAACGACGATTTCGGGGGTCTGTGCCTCGCTGGGGTGGCGTTTTGACACAGCCTGTTTCGCGAAAATGACGGAGGGGTGCGGGAATCACCGGGGGGAGGCGTGGGAATCACGGGGTTCGGGACGACCCGCCGCTATTTGTAACGGAGACGAATTCGGGCCGTCGGCGCTCGTTTCGTGCGAACGATGGAGTGAGATCAGCGCAAGAAGGGTAATGCCATGGAACTCGTCCTCGATGAGGCACAGACGATTCTTCGGGAAAGCGCGGACAAGCTCGTCGAGCGTCACGCGGGCCCGCCCGTTTCAGGGAGTTGCGTACGACCGAGCATGGCTTCGACCCGGCTCGGCTCGCCGTGGTGGCGGAGGCCGGATGGCTGTCGCTATTGGTGCCGGAAGAGCGCGACGGCCTCGGCCTGGGGACCACGGAGGCGGCTCTGGTGCTCGAATCAGCCGGCCGGGGCCTCATGACCGAGCCCATCGCGGCGGTCATGGCGGCGGCGTGGGCCGTCGCTTCAGGTCCCGCGGCCATGGGGGCGACCCTGGAGGGACTCATGAGCGGCGGCTCGGTGATCCTGCCCGCGTTGCATGACCCGGCCGCCGACGACCCCGCCGGCACACGCGTACAGGCCACGCCCGCGGGCAGCGGCTTCAAGCTCTCCGGCCGCACCGGCGCGGTTCCCGGCGCGCCCGCCGCCGACGGTTTCATCGTCAACGCCCGGAGCGGCGACGGCACCGTCGTCTGTCTGGTGCCGCGGGACGCTCACGGCCTGGAGATCCAGCAGCGCGGTCGCGTGGACGGCACCGGGCACGCGACGCTGGCCCTGAACGATGTCGCCGTCCCGGCGGACGCGGTGATCGCGAGCGGCGCGCAAGGCACGGAGGTTGCGGCCGCCACACTCGACCTGGTGCTCCTGGGAACATCGGCCGAGATGTTGGGCATCATGGAGCAGGGGCTGGCGCTGGCGGTGGACTACCTGGGAACGCGGGAGCAGTTCGGCCGCCCCATCGGCTCCTTTCAGGCGCTGCAGCACCGGGCGGTCAACGACCACGTCGACATCGAGCTCACCCGCTCGCTGCTCTATCAGGTGTGCGCAGCCATGGACGACGGGCGCGGCAACCGCGCCATGGTGGCCGCGGTGAAGGCCCGGGCCTCGGATGCCGTGCTCTCGGTGACCAAGTCCATGGTGCAGATGCACGGCGCCATCGGCTTCACCGACGAGTACAACGCCAGCCTCTATCTGCGGCGGGCCATGTCCCTCTCGTCGCAGTACGGGCAATGCCGCGTGGCATCGCAAGCGCTACGCGCGCTGTCGTCACGGGCCGCCTGACGATAGCGGCCGGCCCTCCGTGAAGTCTTTGCGTATCATGAAGCAAACCCCGGCAAAGCCGCCGCAAGCCAGGATGGGCGTCCTTCGACTTCGCTTCGCTACGCTCAGGACGACGGCGTGCGCACGTTTCCAGCCTTCGCAATCGACACGTAGCGGAGACGCCAGCGATACGAGTCGAAGGACGCCCATCCTGATGGCGGTTGAGCCGGGTTGAAGGGAACAAACCATGGCCAACGACGCCTCTCTCAGACGCACCATCCGGTGGCCCGACGACAAGCTTGTCTGTTGCACCTTCAGCGTGGCCCTGGAGGCCTTCCGCAAGACCGGCCGCTTCAAGATGGACTCGCGCATCGACGTGAACTTCAGCTCCCTCTCCCACGCGGAGTACGGTGGCACCACCGGGATCTGGCGCATCCTGGAGATCCTCGAGCGGCAAAAGGTCCGAACCATGGTTCTCGTGAACTCCCTGGCGGCGGAGAAATGGCCGGACGCGGTCCGCGCGCTGCACCAAGCCGGCCACGAGATCGCCGGCCACGGCACCACCAACGAGATCAGCATGATCGAGCTCAGCCCGGAAGAACAGAAGGAAGAGATCGACTCCTGCACCCGGATCCTCGAGGACATCACCGGGACCCGGCCGGTGGGCTGGTTCGGCCCGGGCGGCCATCACACGGACGTCACCCTGGGGCTCCTGGCCGAAGCCGGCTACCTGTGGTCCCGGGGACCCGTCCGACGACGACATTCCCCATGTCGAGTCGGTCAACGGCCGGCGCATCTGCGTCATCCCCAAGACCTGGTACGCCAACGACTGGCGCGCCTGGGGCAACGGCCTGGGCAATGCCAGCACGTTCTTCACCGGATTCAAGGACGGATTCGATTTCGTCTACGAGGAAGCCAAGCAAGGCCGGCCGGGCATGATCGACGCATGCGTCCATGCCGAGCTGGGCGGCCGCCCGTATCTCGCCGCCGGGTTCGAGCGGATCATCGAATACGTCAACCGGCACCGCAGCGAGATCTGGCAGCCCACCTATCGCGAGATCGCCGAGTACTGCCTGGGAAGGTGACCGAGAGTCCCCTCCACCCTCCGACCCCCTCTCCCTCTGGGAGAGGCCCGGAAGTAGCCAACGTCCGTGATCTGCTCGGCTCCGACCCCCTCTCCCTCTGGGAGAGGGTTGGGGTGAGGGTGCCCAGTGCAAGCAGCCCGTCGAGTACGGCAAGGAATGAAAGGGCCATGGCTGTTGTGGCGCCCTCACCCGGCCTTCGGCCACCCTCTCCCAGAGGGAGAGGGGCTGGGTTTGGGACGGTACGAGGCCACCCTCTCCCAGAGGGAGAGGGGCTGGATGCCGGGTTTGTTGTCGGGTTACGCCTTTCGGCAGCGCAACTACAGGGAGTTCCCCGGTAGGTCGGATTAGCGAAGCGTAATCCGACACAGTGAGACGGCGCGATGTCGGGTTACGCCTTCGGCTAACCCGTCCTACAGGGAGTCTTCTCAGGCACCCTCTTCCCTCACCCTCAAAAGAAACGGGATGGGCAACGTGATGGCGATGGCCATGGCGATCCAGGCCATCTCGTAGGACTGGGTCTGGTCGGCGATCAGGCCGAAGATGGGCGGCAGCACCACCACGCCGGCGAAGGTTACCGTGTTGGTCATGCCGATGGCGACGCCGGCCACGCCGGGGCCGACGATCTTGGAGACCAGCGCGAGGTACAGTCCCTGCCAGCTCATGGTGCCGAGGCCGAGAAGCGATGCCACCACGGCCACGAGCCACACCGGCATCCCCGGCGAAAGGAACGCCGTGGCAATGCCGGCGGCGGCGCCGAGAAGCGCCAGCATCACCAGCACCGGCACACGCCGCCCGTAGAACACCCTGTCGCTCACCAGGCCGAAGCCGATGCGGCCGGCGCCGCCGCAGGCCTGACCCACCGCCAGCAAGGCGGCCGCGAAGACCAGCGAGAAGAGGATGTCCTCGGTAAGGTAGAGCTCGATATAGCTTATGTAGCACCACTGGCAACCCGCCAGCACCGCGGCATAGAACGCCCCCGCCCAGACATCCCCGCGCCGGACGAGTTCCTTGAGGCCCACTTCGGGCGCCGCCCCGGCGGCCGGCCGGGGCCGCTCCGGTTCCCGGTAAAAGAGCAGCACCAGAATCCCGGTGGCCACCGTGGCCGCGCCCACCAGGGACAGCGCCAGGCGCCAGCCGTAGACCAGCGCCAGGGACGGCAGCGTGAGGGCGGCGATAGTGCCGCCCACGGGTATCCCGGTCTGCCGGATGCCCATGGCCGTGCCGCGCTCCCTATCCGGGAACCAACCGGCCACGGCCTTGGTGCCGGCCGGAGTACCCGTGGCCACGGGTATCCCCAGGAGCAGGAACACCACCAGCAACCCGAGAAAGCCGTCGGTGAAGTGAACCGCCAGCACCAGCACGCCGCAGGACGCGGTGCCGTACCCGATGATGCGCCGCTCGCCGTAGCGGTCCGCCGCCTTGCCCGCGGCGAGTACGGCGGCCACCACACCCACGTTGATCATGGAAACGAGGATGCCGACCTCGGTGAGGTTCAGACCAAACTCTTTCTGTATCAGAGGCACCAGGATCGGAATGCCCATATGGACGGTCGCCAGCGCGGTCTGCGCCAGCGTGGCGATGGCGAGATAGAACCAGCGCCTGTGTGACGGTGAGGGGGACAGGGTTACATTCCTTACAGCGCGGATAGCCGTGGTCAGCGGTAATACTCGGGAGAACTTCTCTGCCGGGCGAGACGTGCCGTGAGATTTGCGTCTACCCTGCCGAAGGGCTAGTTTGATTCGTTGAACACTTGATGTCCCGCGTCACGAACTCATGAAAACGGAAACGAATCTGCTGCGTGAGCTGCCCTCGGTGGACCGCGTCATGACGCACCCTGCCGCGGCGCCTTTGCTGGAGCGATTCAGCCGGCCGTTCGTGACGGAGACCCTGCGCGACCTCATCGACGAATTGAGGCAGGTCATCAGATCCGGCCACGGCCTTCCGCCTGACCGGCTGCAGGACGAATCTATCATAACGGACCTGGAAAAAAAGCTCGTCCGAGCGGCCCGCCCGGGGTTGGTGCGGGTGGTGAACGCTTCCGGGACCATCCTGCATACGAACCTGGGACGGGCGTTGCTTTCGGAGGCGGCGGCCGAAGCCGTGGGGCTCGTCGCGCGCCACCCCGTCAACCTGGAGTTCGACCTCCACCGGGGCAAGCGGGGCCAGCGGGAGGCCGGCGTCGAATCATTGCTCAGGGAATTGACCGGAGCCGAGGCCGCGGCGGTGGTCAACAACAACGCCGCGGCGGTGCTGCTGGGGCTCAACTCCATGGCCGAGGGCAAGCAGGTCGTCGTGTCCCGCGGCGAGCTCATCGAGATCGGCGGGTCGTTCCGGATCCCGGAGGTCATGGCCAAGAGCGGCGCCCTGCTCCGGGAGGTGGGCACCACCAACCGCACCCACCCGCGGGACTACGCCGACGCCATCGACGAGAACACCGGGCTGCTGCTCAAGGTGCACACCAGCAACTACCGGGTGGTGGGCTTCTCCGCGGAGGTGGAGTTGAAGGAGCTGGTGGCCATCGGCCGGGAGCGCGGCGTGCCGGTGATGGAGGACCTCGGCAGCGGCGCGCTGGTGGACCTCGCAACGCTGGGGCTGCCGCGGGAGCCGCTGGTGGCGGAGCGCGTGGCCATGGGGGCGGACGTGGTCACCTTCAGCGGCGACAAGATCCTCGGCGGACCCCAGGCAGGGCTCGTGGCCGGCGGAAAGTGCTGGATCGAGCGCATGAACCAGAACCCCCTCAAGCGCGCCCTGCGCTGCGACAAGCTCACCCTGGCGGCCCTGGAGGCGACCCTCCGGAGCTACGTCCAGTCCCCCGACCTGCTCCGTGAAATTCCGACCCTGCGGGCCTTCAGCCGGCCCCCTCGACGAGATCGAGGAGTGCGGCAGGAAAGTGCTGCCGCTGCTGCAAGAACGGTTGGGGCCGGACTACGAGCTCGAGCTGGTGGACTCCACCTGCCAGATCGGCAGCGGCGCCCTCCCAACCGAGGAGATCCCGAGCAAGGGCATCGCCGTCCACACCGGCAAAATGAGCGCCGACGAGGTGGCGCAGGTGTTTCGCCGCGCCGATCCGCCCGTCATCGGCCGCATCAAGAGCGACCGTTTCATGCTCGACCTCCGGAGCGCCGGCGACCCCGGGTCGCTGGTGCCCAACCTCCCGGACCGGCAGCGGCCGCTCTGAGGCGGCCTGAACCGGGAACGCCATGCCCTACATCATCGGAACCGCCGGCCACATCGACCACGGCAAGACGACCCTGATCAAGGCCCTCACCGGCCAGGACACGGACCGGCTCAAGGAGGAGAAGGAACGCGGCATCTCCATCGACCTGGGGTTCGCCCACCTGGCGCTGCCGGACGGCAGCGAGGCGGGCATCGTCGACGTGCCCGGCCACGAGCGCTTCATCCGCAACATGCTCGCCGGCGCCCACGGCATCGATCTGGTGCTCTTCACGGTGGCCGCGGACGACGGCGTCATGCCGCAGACCGAGGAGCACCTGGACATCGTCCATCTCCTGGGGGTGCGAACGGCCCTGTTCGTCATCACCAAGGTGGACCTGGTGTCCGAGGCGCGAGTCCGGGAGGTGGAGGAAGAGATCGAGATCCTGACCTTCGAGACCGCCCTGGAAGGCTCGCCGGTGGTGCACTTCTCGGCGGTTTCGGAAGCGGGTCTGGAGGATGTGCGGACACGCATCTTCGACCTCCTGCAAGGTATCGACCGGCCGGCCCCCAGCGGCTTCTTTCGGCTGCCGGTGGACCGGGTGTTCGTGCTCCAGGGCCATGGCGTCATCATCACCGGCACCGCCCTGGCCGGCGAGGTGCGCGACCGGCGAGCACGTGCACGCGTTCCCGGCGGCCAGAAGATTCCGCGTGCGCAGCATTCAGGTCCACGGCCAGTCGGTGGAAGCGGCGGGCTGGGGGCAGCGCGTGGCCCTGAACCTGACGGGCCAGGAGCGCGGCGCCCTGGAACGCGGCCACATGATCTGCCACGAGGAGCGTACCTGGTATCGACGCGGTTCGACGCGCACCTGGAGGTGCGGCCCGCCGCCACCAAGGGAATCCGCAACCACCAGCGGGTGCGTATCCACCTGGGAACCGCCGAGCGCATGGGCAAGCTCATCTTCCTGGGCGACACCGAGAAGGTGGAGCCCAAGGACACGACCTACTGCCAGGTGCTGCTGACGGAACCGCTGCTGGTCATGCGGGGCGACCATTTCATCGTGCGGGACGAAACCGCGCGGAGGACCCTGGGCGGCGGCGAGATCGTCGAACCCCGGGCGCCCCGGCACCGGCGGCGGGAAAAGGACATCGAGCCACGGCTGCGGACCCTGCACCATGGCGATACGCCCGAGATGATCCGAAGCTTTCTGGACGGCGACACGAGCCTGGCAACGAGCGTCGATTCCATCTGCCAGTTTTCTCAACCTGAAGAGAGAAGAAACGCGAACCTGGCTGGAACGAACCGAGGGGCTGCGCTCCTTCGACTCCGAGAGGGAGCGCGTGTACATGACCGAAGAGAAGTGGAACGGCTTCCGGGAGCGGCTCCGCTCGAGCCTGAAGGCGTTCCACCAAAGCCATCCGCTGGCGCCGGGCATGGACCTGGAAGAGGTTCGGGCGCGGCTCGCCGCCAGCGTATCGGTGAGGCTGTTCCGGGACCTCACCGACCTTTTGGCGTCCGAGGGTGCCTGCGTCCGGGACGGCAACCACGTCCGCCTGCCGGACCACCGGGTGGAACTCGGTGCGCAGGAGAAATCGCTCTCCGGCGAGATCACGGCCGCGCTGGCCAAGACGCCCCTCGCCCCGCCCTACCTCAAGGAGATCGAGAAGGCCCTGGCGGTCCAGCGCCCCAGGCTCAACGAGGTCATCCGGGTCATGGAACGGCAGGGGGAGATCGTCCGGGTGACCACCGAGCTGTATTACCTCAAGGATTCCATTGACAGGATCAAGAGCGATTTATATAGCTACTTTGAGAACCATGAGGAGATGAGCGCGGCCACCTTCAGGGATATCCTGCAGTCGAGCCGCAAGTACACCATCCCCGTTCTGGAGCACTTCGACCGCACCGGCGTCACCATGCGGGTCGGCGACGTAAGGAAGCTCAAGACGGGAAGAAGTTGAGAGCCAACCTCCGAGACAGCCGATCCGAAGGAGCCCGAAATGGACATGGAACCCATCCGACTGACCCAGGAAGTCAAGTCCGCGGGTTGAGCTGCCAAGCTCGGCCCCGCCGACCTGGTGCAGGTCCTGCACCAACTTCCCAAGTTCGCATCGCCGGCGCTGCTCGTAGGCACCGAGACGGCCGACGACGCCGGCGTGTACCAGTTGCGTCCCGACCTGGCCATCGTCAACACCGTGGACTTCTTCACGCCCATCGTGACGACGTACATGTTCGGCCAGATCGCCGCCACCAACTCCCTGAGCGACGGTAGTGCCATGGGCGGGGTGCCCGTCACGGCTCTCACATCGTCTGCTTCCCCAAGGGAAAGATGGACATCCAGGTCCTCGGCGAGGTGTTGCGGGGCGGCGCCGACAAGGTCATAGAATCCGCTGCGTCATCGTCGGCGGCCACTCCATCATCGACGAGGAGATCAAGTACGGCCTGTCCGTAACCGGCACCGTCCACCCCGACCGCATCCTGCGGAACATCGGCGCCGGGAGGGCGACGTGCTGATCCTCACCAAGCCCCTGGGAACCGGCATCGCCACCACCGCCTCAAGCGAGGCAACGCATCCGAGCCAGCATCGAACAGGCGGTGGCGTCCATGGCCACCCTCAACAAGTACGCGCCGATTGTGATGAACGACTACGACCGTCCATGCCTGCTCGGACATCACCGGCTTCGGCCTCTTGGGGCACGGCCTGGAGATGACCAGCGACGGCACCGTCAGCATCGTCTTCGAAGCCGCCCGGCTGCCCGTGTTTCACGACGTGGCCCGGCTCGCCGAGGCCGGCGGCAACCTCACCGGCGGCTGCAAGCGGAACCGCGAGTACCTCGACGGCAAGACCGTCATCGAGACACCGTCTCCGAGGCCCTTGGCCGAGGTCGCCCTCGAACCCACAGACCTCCGGCGGCCTGCTCATCGCCGTGGCGGAGAAGGACGGCGAGAGGCTGGTTAAGGCGCTGGTGGACGGGACGTCCCCGCGGCCGCCATCGTCGGGCACGTCAACAGGGCGGGAGGAGTTTGGCGGGTGGCGGTTGGTGTGTGAAGAGTCTGGAACCGCTTCGGAGGCGACGTTTGTCGCGTGTCCTTAGAAGTAGACGCACAAAGTGTTGCGGCGCGTCATTCGGATTGCAGCAATGGAAAGCAGCCAAGTAGGGATGCCGCACTCCACGCTCTCGACCGATTGCAGACTTCCCTACGCGAGCGCAAGGTCGATGTCACTCGGTGGGCACGGGATTTGAAATCCGAGCGCCGCGCGGCGGCCGCATTCCAAGGCCCGATGATCTGTTCTTCGCCGAATCTGCTCCTGCGCATACGCCGCCTCCTTGGCCTCGGAATAACCTTCAGTGAGGACATCAGGAGACCAGGTCATCGCCCTTGGACATTCGCTATTCGGTTTCCAGCTTCGCAAAGTACTTCTTCCATTGCTCCTTAACGTAGTCCCAGAATCCTTCCACGGGCTGCTGTCCACATATCGGCAAGTCCTGCCGACCTTTGTCAACAGTACGTGTCCAATCTCAATCTCGTTGCACTAGTATTCTTGGGGCATCTCTAACTTCAGCGCCTTGCCGTAGTAGTGTGCATGAACACGTCTTTGCAGATCGGAGAGCTCGATTTCCGAGTGAGCCTTTGTCAACGCAGCTTCTGCCTTCGCCTTCGCCATTCTCTTGACTTGGTATGGTGCAAAGAGACCGTTCACCGCCTCCGATACCTTCACGATCAGCGTGTTGGCGGGTTTCGACAGCTTACCAAGTCTAGATTTACGAGCGAATTGGAACTTCACTGTGGCATGAACTCTCCCGCTAAATACTAACCTCTAGATATGCGGATTCCGCAGTTGGTTCGGGAATTGTATAGCCGTCTTCCTTACACCATCGATGTGAAATTCGATGGCCTCCTTCATGTTCGCTTCCACTTCCTTCCGTGTGGCTCCGGTAGACACGCATCCGGGAAGATCGGGAGAATACGCTGAGAATCCAGTTCCCGTGACTTCAATAACAATCAGATATCTGTTCATGTCCTCCCTCCCTCAAGAACCTGCGATTGTTCAGGATACTGTTCTGAGTGCCGATTGCCAAGTCATCGTTAGGCTTGCGCTGGTACCGTTACCAAACTCTCTCTTCCTCGGATGCCTGTACTGCCGGTGACTACCTCGCGTCCTGACAAGGTACCATCCATCCTCCTCTATCAGCCGGATGATTTCTCGGACTTTCATGTGGCTACCAGACCACTGCCTTCGTCGGGAGTCAGCTCACACGGGCATGCATAGATCATGGCACTCTCGCTGGTCCAAAGTCCATTATCGCACCTTCGGATTCGACCTCAAGTCTAAGGAAACTCTGATCAATTGTCATGGCGTCCTTCGACTTCGCTCGGCTGCGCCTCGCTACGCTCAGGACGAACGGAGTTGGTCCCACTGCCATTCGCCCTAGCCGCTGTTCAAGTGATCAGGACCGCACGGAGGTCATTGACGTTGGTACGCGTGGGGCCGGTCACCACCAGATCACCGAGTTGCTGGAAGAACTTGTAGCTGTCGTGTCGGGTGAGCATGTCCCGTGGGTCCATCCCAGAAGCGCGGGCACGGGCTAGGGTGTCGGGACCGATGTAGGCGCCGGCGGCGGCCGCGGAACCGTCGAGGCCGTCGGTGTCGCAAGCGATGGCGTGAACGTTTGGGGCGCCTTCTAGGGCCAGGACCAGCGCCAGAAGATATTCGAGGTTGGGGCCGCCAACACCACCGGGAGCACTGATCGTGACCGTCGTTTCGCCGCCTGAAATCACCACACTAGGGGCATGCTGCCGTGCCAACTCCGCCTGGGCTGCACCGATGTCGCGCGCCTCTCCCTGAATATCAGCGCCGAGATTCACCACTTCGAAATCCATGGTACGTGCCATGGCCGCGGCAGCCGCAAGTACGTCCGCGGGACGGGGCTACAAGGACGTAATTGGTCCGGGAAAGACGCGGATCACCGGGCTTCACGGTTTCCCACGTGCCCTGCTCCAGGGCCGTCCGAGCAACCTCCGGGAGCGCGATGTCATAGCGGTCGGCGACCGCGAGCGCGTCAGCGCAGGAGGTGAGATCGGCTGCTGTCGGGCCGGAACCAATGATCGCGGGGTCATCTCCGGGTACGTCCGAGATGGCAAGGGTGACGACACGGGCCGGCGCGGCCGCGGCGGCGAGGCGTCCCCCCTTGACGGCGGAAAGGTGCTTGCGCAGGCAGTTCATCTCGCCGATGGGTGCGCCGGCTTCCAGCAACGCCCGGTTGATGGCTCGTTTGTCATCCAGGTTGAGGCCCGGCTGCGGTTCCACCAGGAGCGCGGACGCGCCTCCGGACAGGAGAAACAGCAGCAAGTCATCGCAACCCAGCCGAGCGGCAGCCGAGAGAAAGCGCGACGCCGCGCCCTGCCCCGCCGCATCGGGCAACGGATGGCCGGCCTCTACCACCTCGATACGCCGGCAATCGACCCCGTGACCGTATCGGGTCACCGCGATGCCTTCGATGTCGTTGGGCCAGCACTGCTCGACGGCGCGGGCCATGGAAGCGGCCGCCTTGCCCGCCGCCAGCACCAGGGTGCGGCCCCGCGGCGGCAAGGGCAGATGCGGCGGCACGACCTTGGCCGGGTCCGCGGCGGCGACCGCTGCCTCGAACAACCCCCGGAGGAGACTCCGTTCATCCATCCCGGTCACCGCCGCACGGTCCCGCGGCGGGCAATGACGACTCCCGCCAGAACGGCAATGGCGCCCATCGCCTGCTGCACCCCGATACGCTCGTCGAACAGGAACCAGGCGACGGTGCCGGCGACGATCGGCTGCACCAGGAGGCTGACGGAAACGAACGACGCCGGCAGATGCGCCAGGGCCCAGGCGATCAGGCCCTGGCCGAGCACTTGCGGCCCGGCCGCCAGCGCAACCAGCACGGCCCACCCGGCAGGGGTCGTGACAGCCAGGGTGCCGTCACTCAAGATCGCGAGCGGCAGAGTGACCATTGCACTGACCGGCACCGCGTAGAGCATGATGGTGATGGTGGAAAAGCGCTGCCGCAGGCGCTCGATGGTCAACTGGTAGGAGGCATAGAACATGGCCGTCACCACACCCAGCAGGTCGCCCACCAGGTGTGTGCGGCTGAGCGCCAGACTCGCTCCCGAAAGCACAACCACGCCGGCCATTGCCGCCGCAAGTCCGAGCATGAACGTTCGGGTCACCCGCGTGCGGAACAGGAGCCATCCGCCCAGAACCACGAACACCGGTGTCACGTTCAAGAGCAGGCTGGCATTGGCCACCGTCGTCATGAGAATCGAATAGTGCCATACCGACATGTCGCCGGCGAGAAACGCGCCTGCCATTGCCATCAGGAGATAGGCCCTCGAACCGGCAGGGTTCTCGTGGCGGGCGCGCCGGTCTCCACCCGGCACGGCCAGCGCAATGACCCAGTAAAGAGGTATCGCAAGCAGGAAACGGTAGAATGCCGTCTGGCTCGGACCCAATTCGCTCAGGCGTACAAGAATCGGGGCGAAAGCTGTGGCAATGGCGCCAACAAGCAACGCCAGGATCGCCAGCCGCTCGGTACGAAGTGCCGCCGCACGCGAAGCAGCCGCGTGATCCATGGGAAAACTCTAGCGCGAGATTGTGTGCGGTGTGAGGCTGGAAGGATATAGTCGCCGGGGAGAGGCCGAATGCCCTCTCCCCGACTCGCGTCAATGGTAGACCTGGGGAAGGCCTACTTCTTCTTCTTCCGCAACAGTAGGGTCCCCAGCGCGTCCTTGGCCTCCTTGGGCATGCCCAGTATCTGGGCGACGTAGCCCTCGATCTCCTTGCCGGTGACCGGCTCGATGATGAGCTTGACGTCCTTGGCCTCCTTGAGGAACACCGGATCCTTCATCGTCTTCTGGAGCGCGTCCCGGAGCATCTGAACGCGATCGGCAGGGATTCCCGGCGGGCCCGAGAGCGGGCGCTGGAACTCATACTGGTTGACCCAGCCCCTGTATGTCGCGACCGCCTGCTTGCCTCCCCGCTTCTCGATCAAGTCCGGAATGATCAGCGAGTCCTTGAGCTCCGGGTCGGGGATCCTCCGGTGCGTGAGCACGGCGTGCAGCTTGTCGTCTCCCTTGGCGTCCAACATCGCCCGGGCCGTAACCCGAATGGATTCCCAGCCCCAGCAGGCGCCCGCGACCTCCTTGGACTGCATGGCGATCCGCGACGTGGCGGTTCCGCGATAACCCGATATCACGTCGAAATTCGTTCCGATGGTCTTGTTGAGGAGCTTCGGCAGGTCGACCCCGGTGGAGCCCGCCCGTGTACCGCCGACCTTGATGGACTTGTTGGGATCGGTGATGTCCTTCAAGGTCCTCACCCCGGACCAGCCCATGAACACACATGCCGGGATGCCCTTGACCGGAGCGCCGATCCAGGTCAGTTCCTTCGACTTGATCTGAACCTTCGGATCGCCGAGAGCCTCAAACGTCACGTAGCCGCTATTCCAGACGCCGAGCACGGTGCCGTCGCGCTTTGCCCGCTTCTGGATGTAGTTGGCGGCGATGAGGCTGCCGGCACCGGTCATGTTCTGCACGATGAAACCGGGGTTTCCCGGAATGTATTTGCCCATGTGGCGCACGATCTGGCGCGTGTACGTGTCGTACCCACCGCCAGGTGCGTAGCCGACGACAACCCGGATGGTCTTGCCCTTGAAGAAGTCATCCGCGGCGACGACATTACCTGCCGTCAGACCAAGAGCCGCCACGAGACGACCGCCAATCCTGTTTTTCTGAACATATGAACCCCCTTAGGTAGTATTTATTCCAGAGTAACCGACCATTTTACACATCCATCAGATTAAAGCCAGCCCTATTTTCGGTTGCGGATCACCCGGGCTGGCGGCCACTGTTGCCGGCTACTGCTTCGTGCTAATGGCTTCATGCAAGTCCCACGGAACTCCCAAAACAGTTCAAGAATTTCGGAGGTTTTCATGCCAACACTGAACGTCGGCGACGCCGACATCTATTACGAGGTCCAAGGAGACGGGACTCCTTTCGTCTTCATCGCCGAAACGGCTTGCGACGGAGACGTGTGGAACATGTTCCAGGTGCCCGAGTTCTCACGGGACCACCGCACCATCATCACCGATTACCGGGGCACGGGCAGGTCCACCCGCACCCCCATGCGCTACACCACCCGCATGTTCGCCGACGACATCGCGGCGGTCATGGACCACCTCAACGCCACCCAGGCCATTGTCTGCGGCCATTCCATGGGCGGCCGGGTGGCGCAGTTGCTGGCCCTGGAGCACCCCGAGCGGGTGAAGAAGCTTATCCTCGCCTCGTCCGGGGCCGCCCATCCCGGCGCCTACGGCATCCCGCTTCGGATCGCCACGGAGATGGTGGAGATGGGTTACGAGAAGTACGTCCGGGATCACTCCATCGAGGTGGGCTGGACCGAGCAGTACGTGAAGGATCATCCGGCCGAGATCGAGAACTTCCTCAAGGTGCGCATGCCCAATCTGTCGTCGGTGGAATGCTATTTCAGGCACGTCATCGCGCGCCAGGAGCACGACACCCGTGACCGGCTCAAGGACATCAGCGTGCCGACGCTGGTGCTGGTGGGTGAGGACGACCACTCCGTCGTCAGCGACATGTCACACAGGAAGGGTGCCGAGATTCTGGCGGAGGGCATCCCCAACGCCAAGCTGGTGCTCCTGCCGGGAGAGCGCCACAGCTATTTCTTCTCGAACCCGGACGCCTCGCACAAGGCCGTCCGGGAGTTCATCAGAGACTGAGAGCCATCTGCCCAGACGAGGCAGGTAGGGGCGACCGGCCGGTCGCCCCTACGGGAGATCGTCCCGTCGACTTTTCTGTGGTGCTGATCGCGGGGAACCGGTCGCCCACCAGTGACGCAGGGCCTACGGCGCGGCCCCGTAGGGGCGACCGGCGGTCGCCCCTACCTCGGCTACAATTCGACTACTCGGACAGGCTTCTGGTGGCGCGTGGCCCACGGTCACGCGTGGCGGGCCGCCATCTCGTCGATCGCCCTCGAGCCAGCGGGTGCTGACTCTGCCGCTGACGTAGTCCGGTTCGTCCATGACCGCGGCCAGGAACGGGATGGTGGTGTCGATGCCGGCGGCGCTGAACTGGGACAGGGCCTGCTTCATGCGCGCCACTGCCTGCTCGCGGTCGTCGGCGTGGACGATGAGCTTGGCCAGCAGCGAGTCGTAGAACGGCGGCACGCGATAGCCCGGGAAGCACTGGGTGTCCACCCGGATGCCCGGCCCATGGGGCGGACTCCACTCGGTCAGGGTCCCGGGACACGGCCTGAACCCCTGCCAGGGAGCTTCGGCCGTAACGCGGCACTCGATGGCGTGCCCGTTGAAGCGCACGTCTTCTTGCGAGAACGACAGCCGTTCGCCGCCGGCCACGCGAATCTGCTCCTGCACGAGATCCAGGCCCGTGATCATCTCGGTGACCGGATGCTCCACCTGGATGCGGGTGTTCATCTCGAGGAAGAAGAAATCCTGCCGGTCCTCGTCGTAGATGAACTCCACGGTGCCGGCATTCTCGTACTTGATCTCCCTGGCGACCTTGTGCCCGGCCTCACGGATGCGTTCCCTCAACTCCACCGGGATACATGCCGCCGGGGCCTCCTCCACCACCTTCTGATAGCGCCGCTGCAGCGAGCAGTCGCGCTCGCCCACGTGCACCACGTTGCCGAAGCGGTCGCCGATGACCTGCACTTCGATGTGCCGGGCGTTGGGGACGTAGCGCTCCATGTACAAGGTGGGATCGCCGAAGGCCGCCCGGGCCTCGGCCGCCGCGGTGCCGAAGGCGGTCTGAAGCTCGCCGTCCTCCCGGACGATCTTGATGCCCTTGCCGCCGCCGCCGGCCGCCGCTTTCAGCAACACCGGATAACCGATCTCCCTGGCGACCTCCGCCGCATCCTCGGAGTCGCGTACGTTGTCGGAACCGGGCACCAGCGGGACTCCGAACGCCGCGACGGTGGCCCGGGCCAGCAGCTTGTTGCCCATCTGGCGGATGCTGTCGGCCCGCGGGCCCACGAACGTGATGCCGTGCTTGGCGCAGGCCTCGGCCAGCTCGGATTTCTCGGCCAGAAAGCCGTAGCCCGGATGGAGGGCGTCGCAACCGGTGCCCAGCGCCGTGGCCACCAGGGCGTCGACCTTGAGGTAGCTCTCGGCGGAACGGGGCGGGCCGATACACACGGTGCGGTTCGCGAGCCGGGCCGGCATGCTGTCCCGGTCGGCCTCGGAAACCACGGCCACCGACTCGATGCCCAGGGACTGGCAGGCTCTGATGATGCGAACGGCTATCTCGCCCCGGTTGGCGACCAGGAGACGGCTAACGGCCATGGGGCAGGCTCTGGCTCTCAGTTTCCATCAGGCCGCACCAGGAAAAGGATCTGACCGTGCTCGACGAACTGGCCGCTTTCCACGCAGATCTCGTCGATGGTTCCGTCAGCACCGGAGCTCACGGCGTTGAAGACCTTCATCACCTCCACGAGGCCCATCGTGGTCCCGACATCCACGTGATCGCCGAGCTTGACGAACGGCGGCGCGCCGGGCTCCGGCGTGGCGTAGAAGGTGCCGACCATGGGCGCGGTGATGGGAACGGTGCCTTCCTTGGCCGTCACCGGCTGGGAAGCCGGGGCGCTCTCGGCCGCGGGGGCTGGCGCTGGAGCCGCGGCTGCCGGCGCTTCGGCCGCGGGGGCAGCTACCGCAGCCGGCGCCGCGGGTGCAGCCTGAGCCACGCTGGCCGTTGCGGGCATGGCGGGAACTCCGGATTTGCTGACCGTGAGCTTCAGATCACCAATCTCAAGGTCGAGATAATCGAAGTTCGACTTCTCCACCAAGTCCAATATCTGTAGTACTTCATCCTCGGTCAATTGCGTGTCCCTCTCTTCCTGTTCCGCTGGATTGTCGTGTCCTGCCGTGGCGGGCATGAAGACGCGAAAGCCCTGAATGCGCGGGTATTCTTAACAAGAATCCGAATCGTGCGTCAACTGCGCATCAGGCAGGCCTCATTGCCAAGCTTGTGAGCGATTCGGAAAGTTGATAGACAAAATCTCTTGGAAAGGGTCGGTTGATCCGTGCCCGTGAACCCGGCGAGTCACCGGAAGGAAGCGGTTGCGATGCCGAAGCGTCAAAGCAACAATCCCAAGCGTCGAATCTCTCCGAGGAATGAAGCCGATCCGCAGTTTCTGGATCGTTTTGCTGCCACAGCCGTCTATACCGGCGACTCTCAACATAAGAGCAAGCCTGCCGACTACGGGTTTGACCCGCCGGCAAGTCCGCGGCCGAACAAATCACTGTGCGACGGCAGCCGAATCATTAAGCTCGCGGAAGCCACGGCGCTCTTTCGGGAGGGCATCAGGCGAGGCATGATCAGCACGTATTGCGAGGAAGGGCTGCCGAAATACGTCTGGGCAGTGGATGGGGATGGCCACGTATACGAGGCGAAGCGCTCAAAAAATAGCCCGAATAGCCCGAACTATCATGGATACGAGCTTGGCGGCAACGAAAGCGTCATGCGGAAACTTGTCGCCAAGGAGTGGCGATCAAGATGAACGGCCAACTTACAGTATCGCTATCCCCTGAAGTTCTCAATTCCGGATCACCGGAAGAAAGAGCGACGTTCGGTCTGTTTGCGGTGACGGCGAACGACCACCTGTTGACCTCCGGTGAGGATGTCGGACAGAAAGAACTGCGCCACGGTCCATATGTTTCCGGCTATCCTATCGCCGAATGGCTTGCGTGGAACTGGTGGCGGCTTCGGTGGGAGATCGGCCGTCCTTCCGATGAGGATGCTATCTTGCATTGGGACTTCGCGCACCGTATGTCGACCATCGGCGAAGGTTACGTGTGGCCCAATATCACGATCTTCTCGGATGGAATGCAATCTTTCTTGGTCTCCGAGCCTTCCCTTAGTCCTGAAAAGGTTTTGTTCCGTTACTCCGGAGCGCCGGGGCGCCAAAGGGTTCCAGCGGCCAATCTGGAAGCTGCAATCGACGGTTTCGTGGAAGGTATTCTGGACAGGCTTGAGAGCGCGACAGTCCGAGAGAGCAATCTCCATCGTCTGTGGGCCGATCTGAAAAGGGAGAGAGAAGACTCTGAGCTCGCGCGTTTCCGACGACTGGAAGCGCAACTAGGACACGAACCGGATGAAGCGGATGAGAATGAGGTACGCCTCTACCTTGCCGACGCCACCGAACTCGGAGAGGAGGCGTTAGGTGAAATAGCCGCTGATGCAGTGCTCAGCGGTGGAGACTCCGGGAGTATGTTTCGGGCAGTAGACTTTACGCAGATAGCACAGACAAACGGCTTCGATGCCAATCCGAGCGACGCGATAGAGTTGAACAATACAACCGACATTCCCGCACCCATGCAGGTCGAGGCCTGGAGCTTGGGAGAGCGATGCGCAAAGGAGATTCGTGGTCAAGAAAAACTGGACGGGCAGCCAATTGACGACAAGACTCTGACCGCCTTCGCAGGAATCGCCGGGGATGCGATCTCGCTGGAAACACGAGAACCCGGGACAATGCCTATATCTTTCGCACTGGACAGGGGAAACGGTCATTCCCGAGTAGCGCTCCGGTCACGGCGGAATACGGGTCGACGTTTTGACCTCGCCCGGCTGATTGCTGATCGTATGATGTGCACACGGTTTAGCGGGTCCCCCGAACCGCTGCTCCCCGCGACACGCGCTTCCAGTTACCGTCAGAAGATGCAGCGCGCTTTCGCTGCGGAACTCTTGAGTCCCTTCGCGTTCGTGAACGACATGATGGGCGGCGACTATTCCGAAGAGAAACAAAACGAAGTCGCAGAATACTTCAAGGTCTCTCCCATGACGATTCAGACACAATTGGTGAATCACCGTCGTATCGATCGCGACGATGCGCCGGACCTTGTCAATCGTGACTGGGCCGCTTAGTCGACGCCTACAGCAACCAGAGTTCAGCTTCAGGACACGTTCGCCGCGCTCGGGAACAATCGAGGAGTCCCGAGGCCCCTTCATTGCACGGGCGTACCAATTTTGACAACGGGGTGCCATGCCCCAGCAGTGACTCCCCGTTCACCCAGATTGCTCCATACCGCGCCGTCTACCTGCTCGGTTCACCTGCGCGCTAGACTCGCAAACTGAGACGTACTATTCTGACTGCCCATCGGCGTCCGACGCCGAGCAAATACCAGAATTTCCAGGAGGGAAGTCATGGGAGACACAATTAACTTCAAGAGGCCTGACGGCAACGAAGCATCGGGTTATTGCGCTTCGGCCGGGGACAACGCGCCGGGCATGGTGGTGATCCAGGAGTGGTGGGGCGTGAACGACCAGATCAAGGGAGTCGCCGACCGGCTGGCGGGCCTGGGATACACCTCTCTGGTGCCCGACCTCTACAAGGGCAAGATAACGGTGGAGGCGGAAGAAGCCAGCCACATGATGCAGAACCTCGATTTCGGGGATGCGTCCACCGACGTGCGGGGAGCGGTGGAGCACCTTAAGCAGAGCTGCCCCAAAGTCGGGGTCATCGGTTTCTGCATGGGCGGGCGCGCTGACGGTGCTGGCGGCGGTGTACGCCAAGGCCGCGGACGCGGCGTGCTGCTGGTACGGGGTGCCGCCCGAGGAAGCGGCGGACACGCGCACCATCTCGATCCCTTTCCAGGGCCATTTCGCGCTGGAGGATGGATTCTTCACCCCGGACAAGGTGGATGCCCTGGAAGCGCGCCTCAAGGAGGGCAACGTCACGCACCAGATCTACCGCTACCAGGCGCAGCATGCGTTCGGTAACGAAACCGGGGCAGCCTACAACGCCGACGCCGCCAACCTGGCGTGGGAGCGGAGCACCGAGTTCCTGGCCAGACACCTCAAGTAAACGGCTTTTCCGCTGTCGATGCGACTCGGCGGCCGGGAGTGCGGGCGGGTTTGAAACCCGCCCCTACATTTCAAAGTCACAACGAGGTGTAGGGGCGGGTTTCAAACCCGCCCGTGTTCGGGGCGGCTGGTTCGCTTGGCACAGGTCAGCAAAGCAAGTCTGGTACAGTAATCCGACATGAGATGGAACCGGTGTCGGGTTACGCCTTCGGCTAACTAACCCGACCTACGTGGGAGAGGAGAACCGAACCCCGGTCCCGTCGCGAAAGGAGACCCCATGGCAAGTTTCCCGATCATCGATGCCGACGGTCACGTGCAGGAGAAGTTCGCGCCCTGGGAGGAGCTGCTGGAGGGGCCGTACAAGAAGAAGGCCCCGCGGGTGGTGAAAGCCGACGGCCGTGACCAACTGCTCATGGAGGGCCGTATCTGGGCCAAGCCCTCGGGGGTGGGATGCGGCATCGGCGCCGTGCCCCATAACCGCTCGCCGCAGCCCACCACCGGCATGTGGGACCCGGCGCAGCGGCTCAAGGACATGGACCTGGAGCAGATCGAGATCTCGGTCAACTTCGGCACCACCGTGTTCCTGAGCCTGCCGTTTCTGGAAGACAAGGATTACGCCTGCGCCGTCGCCAAGGCCTACAACAACTGGCTCCACGAGTACTGCCGCCACGCGCCCGAGCGGCTCAAGGGCGTGGCCTGCGTGCCCATGCAGGATCCGGCCGAGGCCGCGGTCGAGTTGCGGCGCTGCGTCACGGAGCTCGGCTTCGTGGCCGCGGCCACCTCGGCCCACTCCGCCGGGCGCAACCTCGACCATCCCGACTTCGACCCGTTCTACGCCACCGCCGAGGAGCTGGGCGTCCCGGTGTGCGTCCACGTGGGCTCGGGCCGGCCGGCGGCCGCCGCCGACCGCTTCGACAACGCGCTGTTCGTGCACGCCACCACCCATCCCTTCGAGCAGATGATCGGCGTCATGTGCATCATTGGCGGCGGCGTCCTGGAGAAGTTCCCCAAGCTCAGGGTGGCGTTTCTCGAAGCCGGCGCCGGCTGGGTGCCCTTCTGGATGGAGCGGCTGGACGAGCACTACGAGTACATGCAGGCGGCCGTGCCGCTCCTGACCATGCCGCCCAGCGAGTACATCCGGCAGCGGGCCGTCTATTTTTCCTTCGAGCCCGACGAGACCACCCTGCCCTACGTCATGGACTTCATCGGCGACGACCGTCTGGTGTTCGCCTCGGACTACAACCACGGCGACTGCAAGTTTCCCCAACGTGGTCAAAGAGGTGCTGGCCCGGGACGACATCGCGGCCGGCTCGCTGCCGAAGATCATGGGAGAGAACGCGCGGCGGCTCTACAACCTCGCGCCGAACTGAACCCGGACAAAGACGGAGACAAGCCATGATCCCCAAGACCATCGACTCGGACGCCCACGTCATCGAAATCCCCTTCACCTGGGAGTTCATGACCGAGGCCGAACGAAAGTACGCGCCCTTCTCGGTGGCGCAGGACGGCGGCACCGAGTACTGGGTGGTGGACAACCGGCTGCATCCCAAGAACAACAACATCGGTCCCAACACCTCCGCCGACCAGCGCGAGTTGCGCGACCTCGACGCCAGGCTCAAGCACATGGACGAGCTGGAGGTGGACGTGCAGGTGCTCTACCCCACGTTGATGCTGCGCCCCTACACCCAGAGCCGGCTCACCGAGCTGGCCATGTGCAAGAGCTACAACCGCTGGCTGGCCGAAGTCTGGAAGAAGGGCCGGGGCCGGCTGCGGTGGGCGGCCATGCCTCCGCTGCTTTCCATGGACGTGCTGCGCGACGAGCTTTGCTTCGCCAAGGACAACGGCGCCTGCGGCGTCTTCATGCGCGGGGTCGAGTACGAGAAACGCCTGAGCCATCCC